GCACATAAACAATCAGAGGGATAAGAGATATTTAAACCTGTCACCATTCATTAAAATTAAAATATGTTATTGTCCTTTTTCTAAAATCTGCTCTCAGCCAATCCCATTCTGCTCCCTCTACAAAGGCCAAGATAAATTTTTCAGTTTTTAAAAGCACAATTGTCACCAAAATGCCAGACTTACGAGTTTATTCATTTGGATGCTTGCTGTTTCTCTCGGCTTTTTTGGAGAATTAATGGAATTTAAAAATGCACCATTCTTTTTTTTAAGCTTCAGCTGTCAGCATTTTTTACTTTTATCCAAAAGAAAAAGTCATAGAAGCTGAGTGGTCATTTCTGTTGTTCTACTTCACTGCAATAGAAGACAATTATACTTATGGCCCAAGTTGAGCAATGCCATCTCATTAAATGGGTTAACAAACCATCTGACCAGTACAAAACAATGCTTTGAGCAGAGGTTTTGGATTGTGCAGGACTTCAACCCAGCCTTTAGTAAATGGTCTTCATATGAAGGGGGAACCTATTGGTCTTTGGAAGAGCTCCTATAGAGCTCCGGGAGTTGACGTCACTTCTCCCGGCATGCAACAGTTCAAATTGAAACGGCGCCATCTTGGCAGGTAGAAGCCGGCAGCTGGACTCTTTGTTATTGTCAGAAAACGCAATCAGACGGGAAATATGGTAGATTCCTGTTGTGCCCCAGGATGCAGAACAGACGACATAAGGAATGAGCCATCTACAAGATTCCCCAAGATCCGGAGCGCCGCAAACGTTGGATCATTGTAATAAAACGTGCTAGTGACCGAGCTAAAATGAAACTGTGGGACCCCGAGAGTAAAGGTTTTCGCTAATGCAGCGACCACTTCATATCAGGTACTTAAACCAACGTTTCCTCAACTGTGTATGGTATTTATTTTAAATGCTTTTATTATGATTCTTAGTGGGCTTCCTAAACTCATTTTGGCATGGCTTTTTCTGTCTTATTACTCATAGCAACAAGTAAACATCACGTAAAACGTTGCCTCGTGATTTCTGCGTGCTGCCGTTTACATGTTTTATGATCACATCAATTAACCGGCTAAGCTGTATTTCATTTTTAAGCAATGGTTGATCAATTGTCAGATCACACTTAAAAAGCACTTTGGATTGCTATTATCTGTCTCACCGAGACGGATCTCAGACAGATCATGAGACGCTCCTGCCTGACATATTTATTTTATTCACGGAAAAAAATCAAACTAGTGATTTCTCTTGGCGTTCAGTTTATACATTTAAACAGCACAGCACTCTATTTAAACTACTTACGTGTAAATCTGTTATTTGTCCATCCATCCATCCATTTTCATCCGCTTATCCGGAGTCGGGTTGCGGGGGCAGTAGTGTTGAGAGGCCCTGACTTCCCTCTCCCCAGCCACCTGAGCCAGCTCCTCCGGGTAAATCCCAAGGGGTTCCCCGGCCAGATCTGGTAAGAAGTCCGCTCCGACAGCTTCTGGCGTTTTTAAAAAGTATCCCAGGGGCACGGTAAGGGTCGGAGATGTTTAGTCTATTTAATTTCTGACAATATAAAATGATTTCTTTGGTTTTAAAGTGTGAAGTAAACTCAGACGAAGTAAAATCCAAGCCGATCCCGTTCACGTTCATGGTTACGATCTGTGTTTGTTTAGATTCTTTTACCTGCCAATATGGCGTCTACTAACTGACAGTCACGTGGGGTCCGGAGCTCTATTAATCATATTGGTCTGACTCATCATACGAGGTCCTGCTTTGACAGCTCGCTGCAGCTGGGAAGAACTTTAGTGATGCAACTTTGGCCTACAGGCTGTTTCAGGATAAGAATTGTATTCAATAAATTGCATGCTCACAAATGTTTTGTCTCACTCTCATTTTTTCTTGTTGCATGTTGAAGTTCGACTTCATAGTATTAACCAGTGAGCCGCCACGCAGTCAAATGGAAGGCCAGATTTTAAAAAATAACAGGGGACGGCTTTTAACCCTCTCAGGCTCAAAATAAGTTTTGATAAAAGGATGAACAACTAAGTCCTTCAGGGGTACTTCTGAGTTAAAAAATGATCATGAAATACGTATGTGGAGTAACCAGGTAGGTAGGTTTTAACTGTTGCTAATCTGCAATGCCTGTCTCCAGAGGGTTACAAATGATGGCAAGCCGTCCCCGTTTTCTGTAATATCTATTCTAGAATAAGCATTTTGTGAAAAAAGATTGTACAAATATTTGGGCAAATGCGTTCAAGTCTGTAGGCCTACTAGTGGAAATATGCAGATTCATTGTGGGGGTTAATAAGCACGGAATCCCTGTTTCTGTCAACTTTAAAAGCAGCGGACGTAGCAGGTGGATATAGACAGGCTTGTAAAGAAGATGGAGTAATGTCGGGTATACACACCTGGTTTGGGTTTAAGGAGTCTGATGTTGAGCAGAAAAACATCCTCAGTAAGCTTGTTAATTTAATGGTTTGTTATTTAAATACCATACCTACAATTTATTTATAAAGCACAAAAATAGCATGGCAGTTAACCAACATGCTATACAAAATGAGGCAAAGGTTCAGACACAACAACGGAAACAGCATAAAACTAAGAAATGAGCTAAAACGCATAAACAGCAAAGCATAAAATAACTTGTTAAAGATAGCGGTCAAAGAGAACAAGTAAAAGCACCATGCCAGGAAGTTAAACAGAAAAAACTATCAAAACCAGCTAAAAATTAGACTAATAAAACTCAAAGGGCTTCAATATGTGCAACTAAGAGAGTAATTCATGCAAATAATCACCGCTAGCCAATAAAACACAGCGCTAGGACTTTAAAGTTGATATAACACAACTTAACTTCTTTGAGCAAAAGAAAACATGAAATATGATTAAATGAATCAGGAACGCAGGAAGAAACACTGTTTCTGTTTTTATATTGTTCACTTCTGTTCAAACTATTTGTAATTTTGTGTTTTCATTCATTTTAGCTTGAAATAATGCATTTAGCTTAATTCATTTAGGAGAATTTTTGTGTTGCATTGTTTGGGAAAAAAATCTTCGCAACAACATACCATTTACCTTTTTTAGGATTTTGTAGTTTTTTCATTTTTAATGTTTTGAACGTCAAATGTTCTTTAAATTTTATACTTAACACTATGAAAAACATCGCTCCACCCACCCAGGGGGGACACCCACGTTCCAGTGTCTGGCTAATACCCTTCTCCTTGACTCAGTTCTGCCACAGGTCCCAGTGAAAAATCAATAAACTCCTAAATTACCCCTGATTTTCTCATCAATGTGTGGTTGACAAAAAATAAAACAAAGAAGGAAGAAAATAAAAAAAAAATTCATGGATATAATGAAGGCGAATATGCAGAGGGCTGGAGGGAGAGAGGCGAGGCCATTCTAGTGACCCATGAAGAAGATCCTCTGGATGATTTTTACACATATTCAATTTGAACAAAGAAACATTTCAAAGCGAAAGAGAAAACAATCTATGTTTAAGTAATATTCAGTGCCGACGTGTACTTATTGCGACTTTGTTGTTCTTTCAGCCGACACTTTTTGCTCAGGGATGTTTAAACATGTCAAGGCAACATAACATTACAGCGCTATGGCCTTCAGTGTAATGAAACCATGAGACAGATTCATAAATAAAAGATACTGACACAGGCCATGAAATCCTCTCATTTCCTTCAAACATGACTTCATTTCAGCACATGGGAAAAAAGAAATTCCTCATTGTTGCTCAGATTGTGTAATGCTACATTATTCATCACAATACACAGTGGATCAAAGATTAATCCCGCTTGTAAAATTGGTCGTTACGCCATTATAGTCCCGGAAATATAGTAAGCCATTCCAGCATAACATTAGCTCTGGTTTAGGGACGCCTGTGAAGTAAGTTGCTTTTGGGTGCAGTGGCATGACCGTTTAGCCAACAGCTAATGCTTAAATTCTAATTCTTCTTCTCTTTTTTTTTATTACAACAAAAATCCACCAAGAACGGTTTAACATTAATCTGTCATGACTGACAGTTCTCACTCTGCAAAAAATTAGACTAATTCAACAACATTCAATTACTAAATTTCTATTAAATACGTCAATTACTGATTTGAATTATCTGTTGCCTTTTAGAAAATATTATAAAAATATGATTTGTATCTATGGCTATATATTTAATTTCTATTTATCTTTGCACTAAATACAGTTAGGTGGTGCCAAACCTGGTAAAATACTAATTGTTATGCCCTCGTCCAGGCTAGGAGATCCGGAAAGGGTAACACAAAGAAAACAGATCTACCCCCTAAGAAACAACAAAAGTAAGGCATAGCTTCAGTTTGGAGAAAGGATTTATTAACCAAAAGTGCCCCTCTACAAAAGGTAGAGGGCAGTCACAAACAGAAACGGGTTCTCAACTAGAATCTTAACTAAAGGAGGTTACTCTAAAACACAACATAGTTTAATCTATGAATTAGTGAGTAGCACGTGAGGAGGTCCTAGAATATAAAAGCTAGACGAGAGGGAAGCCAACAGGAGGTAACCTCCTACAGCCAAAGCTGAAAACACTTATAAAGACTCCTAACAACAGAGATACACTTAAAGAGCTTTAACGCTCACTTTAGCTTATTAACGCTAACTCAAAGGGAATTTAACCCATGTCCAAAGCCTCATAAGGACGAAAACGGCTCCCTGCTGCTAATGGAGAGCACCAGACAGCATCTGACACCCTCCTCGAATGGGTGACAACCACCAGTCTTTAAGGGCCGCTCATCCAGCGTTGATTTGCTTCAGCTGGGCTGGTTAGGATCCACGGTGTGTCACTCTCCATGGTGCTGAAGAACGCTGAGCATGGCTGGATCGCAGCTCCCCAGGGTGCTGGTCCTTATTTAGTAAGAATTATAAACCTGAAGAGACCATAGGGCAGCAGGGTCTCCTCAGGATGGGACAGCCAGACCCAGGGCTCGTAACCCCCCCCCCCCAAAAAAAATTGCTGGAGGGAGTATGTATCATTTCTGGTCTGGAAATACCCCAGTTTCCGCTAAGATGAGGGTAAGAATGCCTCTAAGAGAGAAGGGTGTCTGGGCTTCACTTTTAGACCTGCTTCATTCCTGACAAATGGGTGAAGTAAATGAATACATGAATCAAAAGCTTGCTCTGTAACTTTTGACATGATTTGGTCCACAATTCTATTCTGAATCAAGATCCAGCAGGAGCTTTTACCAAGGTGAGATGGTAACTTATTAAACAGCAGATAGGAACTTACAATCAAAACAAAGCTGATGAGAAGAGACACAGTGACCTGAAAACATGCTCTCCTGTCATTGAAAGTGCTTTAATCTTTTTAACGAAAATTGTTTTAATACATTTCATCAGATGTTTACGAGACTGAACAGTAAAAGGCAAAAAAAATGTCAGTCTGTAATAAATATGTATGGGTTTGAATTAACAGATGTTTTGTGTGTGAGGTAGTTTTAAACGTAAAGTTGTTTGAACTAATGCACAAAATTATCTAATAAAATCTCTAATCTAAAAACCGACCTCTTCCATAATGCAACAAAAGGATCCGACTTTTAATGGTTTAGGGTGATTAAGACCATTATTAATCTTGTTTTTAATGTTTTTAAAATGATTTGCTGTTAAAGAACATATTCTACCACTTCAAAAATGTTCAAACTGAGAACAGAAAATTTTCTATATAAATAACTTAATTTCATATTTTATGTTTTTGCTTTAATTCTCATTAATGCGGACCCACATTCTGCAACTCTGAAATACATTTCTGCCCAGCGTTTTGTGCTGCTCTCTGTAGTCGTTTTGGTCTAACCACTACTAATGACTTAGACTTAACGACTGAATTAATTGTCTTGCTCATGTAGGGAGTGGTGGTTTTATTGTATTATCATGGGTTAATGAGCATGGCTTTCCATTGGGTGGATTTTTACCTCCCCTGTTAATAGTGTAATGCTAATAACATGGTAGTACTCTGCAGTGTTAAGTAGAGTTCAATCCTACATTTAGATTTTTAACTAGTGCACTTCACTGGTACCCGTTGGGTAATGTGTAAAAGATTCATGAAATTTACATTGTTGTGTCATTTGAGACATATTCTTTTTGTCATTTTAATTTCTCCATTTGTTCTTTTCTTTTTGAGCACTTATAGATAGTGTAATGCAAGAGGTCACCGGTGACATTAATTTTTTTAATTTCAGTTTCGGCATGACCTTAATGAGCTCAGTTCTGTGTGATTTTGGTAAGTTTGTACGTTTCTTGTAGTAATAATGAGAAAAAAGATAAAGGTTTGCGTGCTCATGATTTAAAAAATGTGAAAACTATAGGAACACAGAGGTGCCACGGGCCGATAGGCAGGACAGGCAAGTGCTTAAGGCCTCCACGACCCCCCAGGGGCTCCCAGAGGGCCTCCTGAGGGCTGACAGGCTTTTTAATCAAGTCAGAACTGCATCAGTAGTAAAACAGTGACAAGTCGTCACATATGTGTGTGTGTATATATGTAAAGAAATATATATGTACATACACATACACACACATTATCCTTACATTTTCTTTCTAATTTTAAACATATTTTTTAAATTTCTAAAATCTTTTTTGTATTTGAAATGTTTAGAGTTTGTGAATCGCCCTGTGATTTTTATCTTGAGAGGAGCTATATAGAAGATGGTTTTCTTTAATTCTTTCTTTATATATAATATGTTGGTCTTTCTCAGGATTAAAAGAAATATCCATAAATATATATTTTTTCTTTTTTGATTTTAGATGTTGAGGGGTAAATGAACTCCAATGTGGCGTGATGATGTCACATGCAAATGAGTGTGTGACATCGTCTGGCAACATCTGGGTGACTTTCAGGGTGAACTTCAGTTACTTTCTGTGGGAGGCAACACTGGGCTGAAAAAGAAAAGTAGATGCCACTTGTACAAACTAGCATTAGCACAGCTAGCTGCCACATAAAGTTAGAAGTAGCAGTTTAAAGGTCTGATGAGCCAGTCAATAACATGTGGGACTGTTTATCATCTATTCATTGATTTTTGTCCTGTAGCAAGCATTCACACAGATAATTATTATAGTTAGAGTGTTATATTTGGTATGTTTTGTTGTTTCAATATTGGTGTTTGGGTTAATGTTGTTTTATTGCAGGCAATTAATTGCCACCATGATAAAATTTCCTCCGGCAATGAGTGGCAATGTTCCAGAGTTCACCATAGGGGCTGGCCTGTGAAAAGTTAAAAGCAATATCATTTTTTGTTCACTTTGTTTAACCGGGAAGGTCTGATTGACAAACTATTTCAGTTCAAGGGAGCTGTGCTGGTAGCTAGAATTAAACCAACCCACACAGCTTCTCTTCCCCTAAGCTATAACAACTGTGTGTGCCATTGATGTACATAGTGTAAAAACCAAGTGCCAGCATTTATTTAGTAAAATATTAATGAAATTCACACAGCTTTGATGTCTCTGCAAAACCATCCTTCTCGTCCTTAACCAAGAATTTTCCTGAAGTATAAATACAGTACGGGGGACCCCTAGCGACAGAGACAGGCTAATTAGTGCAATCGATAATTAATCAACAGCTTTTAGAGATTAATTCCAACAGGGAAACTGAAATGAATCCATGAAACTCAAAGAGAAAGCAAAACACAAAGAAATAAATGTGAAAGATTCTTGAAAGAAAAGTGAATTTACATCACAGGACCATCCTTTCCTGCTCCATCTCATTTGGATGTTTCAACTGTGGAAAACTGTTCACATCTGTTCTGTGTTGGTTATCCAATTCCATTATTTGGTTCTTTTCTGAACAGAATAATAGAGATTTGTTATTTACCGGTACCTTCTTGCTGACAAGTTTCAGCTACATCTTTAGCCTTCATCGAAACGTGCCGATGGATGACTTCTGTCTCCAGTCACTGTCACACTATTCTGCCCATGCCCTCCTCACCGATGACCATGTCCGATGAACAGTCCTGTGTATACACTCCTCTGTCCCTGTTAATTGTCCTGGGACAACATGGACCATAAACACAGGTCAACAAAAATACAGAAAATGGATTAAGGAAGCTATTTAATAAGAACACGTCGACCCAGGACAATGAACAGGTACGAAGGACTGTATACACGACCCTTCATGGGACATGGTTATCGGTGAGGAGGATGTGGGCGGTGGAGAGTGACGTGCTCTGCGGCCCTCAGATAAACAGAGAACGAAGCAACATCAGCGACGCTCTGAAGGCTACAGATGTAGCCGAAACTTGTCAGCAAGAAGGTAAATAACAAATGTCTATTACTCTGTTCAAAAAGAACCAAATAATGTTTACATCCATCCTTCATCCAGTTAAAACTGTAACACAAAGTGTTGCATTTCAAGTTTTATATATCTCCAAAGCCGACGATGAATGGTTTTGGGAATTGTAGAAGTAAACTTTGGAATTTTTTAAAGAATTTCTACCTTAAACAAATGTACATGAATCATCTTTAAAAAGAAACTTGTGACATGTATGCACATTTGCAGATGCCCCTGGTACTGAGCTACTTTAAACAGAGCTATTTCATATTTCCAGTGAACTAGAAAAATAATGATAATAATAAAGATTTTGTAGCAGTAACTTTGTGGCACCAAGTCACAAACTGATTTCATTGAAGATCACCAAGCATGAAGGCTGAGCAAAAGACCACGAAATAAGATCAGCCTAACAACCCTCATAGTTGTCTTGTGCAACTGAGAGTGTAGGAGTCAGTGGTGTGGAGAGGAGGGACAAAAGAACAAATGGATGGAGATATGTAACTACCACCGTGTTACATTCATTACTTGATGTAAATTAGAGGCAGGGTCAGCACAGAACTAGAGTATTGCAAGGAAAAAGAAAGTATCAGGACAGAAAAGCGTAAACTGACTCAAGTTTTCTGTTTTTGTTCTCCTAAAATTCTACTTCAAACTGATCATAAACACATTATTTACTTAATTTTCTTATTCATCGTTTGGTCTGTGATAAAGAACCCATTAGTTTTACAGCAAACTCCTTTCCACAGAAAATAAAACACAAGCAGACAAATATGGTTTATAGTATTTTATTTTGTGTTATTCACTTCTGGGCTACTGAGGGTGGTTAGTTCAGACGCTGCACTTAATCACGCTCTCGATCTCATTGATATGGAGTTTAGGACGCACTTGAACCATTTTAATTTACTGTTACTGTTTTCTTGGATTACATTCACACTATTACTGCTGCATATGTGTTTATCACAGCGCGCTCTTAGAATAACCAAAGCCTAATTATTCTGCCACCAGTGATGGATGTTTTTTAGAAACAAAATCTTTCCTGAAAGCTATAATCCTGATGTTGCACAGCTTAAATTACAATGTTTAGACAGATGGATAGAAACAGTCAAATCAAGATCTGCAATTTAATTTTTTTCTGGTTTGAAAGTTTGCATTTTAGAACCTGCTGAATGGATATAAGAGTAAATTTACAATTTAAAAAGAGGATAGGTTCATCAGCTTGGTGAAAAATGATTCCAATTGTTTAATTTATTTGAGAACGAATAATAAAGAAATGGATTCAAATATAAACAATGGTCCATTGGTGCCACAACACTAATCATTGGTTTTACTTATGTCAACATAATTCTGCTTGTTCATAGGAATGAATCTAATATTAAAAGATGGAAAAGCAATGCATTTAAAATGAGCACACAACTATAATGTCACTTGGCGACTTCTATTGTCTGAGGACTTAAAGCCATTTGCCAGCCCAGTGAAACAGAAAGAAGCTGATATCTAACTACAAGAAGGAACATACCTTTCAACTCAAATGTAAGGGTTGCTAAAGAGAAAGTCATCAGATATGGCACAAGCCTAAAAAATTCCACCGATAACCTTCACACTGCTATGCCCCTGAATAAATGTCAAATACTATCAGCTGTTAGCTCAGTGGAACTATTGCATCCAATCTGCCAAAATGGAAGTGAAGAGATGCGAGAAATAAATCCTGAAATCACAATGTGTCAAGCAAAAAAAAAGTATATGTACGTAGAATTGTTTTACTTTTAATAATGTCTTTTGGCTCCAGTGGCTTTGAATTATGTGACTGGTGTTTACGGATTTTGTACAATTTCAAAAGTTTTTTTTTGTTGCCTATAGTCAATGTGTGTCTGTTTGTATTAAAAAGAGGGATAAATGAGAGCTGCATTATTACGCATATGCCTATGTGACCAGCAACGGAGTTGCCTGCCCAAGGACATGGACACCGACGTCAGTTCTATGAATATTCAATTAGGGCGAGCTGCACTTGTCCCCTTTTCCCTGTGTAGGCTCCAGTAGCTCATAATGAATCCAAGGTAATATCTTTGTCTGCTTCTATCAGAGCCACATATACCACTGTGTGAACTAATGCATTCAGTTCAGGATATCAAACTACGAAGGTCTGCCCTTTGGGCTCGAAGCACCGCTTTTATTGGAGCTCTCTTTTTATAATTAGGGACTAGCTATGAAAAAGCTTTTACATGCAGAATGAGGTGCATACATTTTTTTGTTGCTTTACTTTTTTGACCTTGATTTCCTTTGTGGGTCCCATGGGTCTGAAAGCATGTATAGAAAAAAACCAAAACAAAATAGAAGTAAATAAATAGGTGTCCAGTTCAGAATCAACAAGCCGAGGCCTAAACATGTTAAGCCTTGGCAGATTATTCCATATTACATTTAAAACATTTATTTTAAAAATGAGGTGTTCTGCTTTATACTTGTTGTGGTATTTTTTGTTTCAGTCCGTGTGAGGACAGATCTTCTGTATGCTGTTCTAATCCTGGACTTTCACTCTGTCGGATTTAAAAGGTTAAAGGACCATAAACCAGGGCTGGAATGCTTTTCCAGCAGACACTGTGAGGGTCAGATTCTCTTCTAAAGTAAAGTTCAAGACTCACTTCTCGTCATTCACACAAAGGAATCATTTAAAATGCGTGTTTCGTTAGTGAACGTCACATCCATACAGTCTACTCTGAGTATGAGTCGTAGTGACTCAAATATCTCAAAAGTGCAGCTAAATATCTGCAAATATGATGGATTTAAAGCAGTTTTTTATATTTTCTGAGGCCATTTAGCTCTGGCAGCTGCCATGAATGAGTTGAATCCAAAAGTCAGACAGTAAAACAAGTCTTTCTGAGAGTTCCCTTGAAATCTGTCATGAAAATGCATTTTAAACACACACACACACACACACACACACACACGTAAAAACAAAAGCATGCATTTAGACTTTATTAATTTAAATAAATGAAAAGAAGTTACTGAAATGTTGAGGTATTAATTGACTACAATTTAAACTTTTAATGGTCTTAACTTTGTTTATTTTAGGGTACAATTTTTTCGGTTAGTAGGAAAATGTCATCTCTGATAAATAAAACATACCATGATATTGCCAACTAGATCATACCTGTCAAGTTTTGGATTTGAAAATAAGGGAAAATTTACAACACCCGCAGCGAGCCAACCCACCACCACAACCAAGCTCTAGTATCTCTTACGTTGTAAGATAGGTGTACAAAAAAATCTATAATAACCGCTTTTCAACCACTTACTACAGTTCGGTGATCAGAATCTGAGGCCTACCTTTGTTGACAATGAAATGCTGTGAACATTCTGTTATAATACAGCCTAAATGAAAACACAGAAGGGGAAATGAAGCATATTTCTTGATTTTACATTTTTCAATTTATATACAAATCAACACATTACTTCATGTTTATTTCACATTGCTTGTCTTTAAGTTAAACATTTACATTTTACGTTCATTACACATTTTCTTTAGATGTATCATGTTCACTCATGTGGCTCTCTGACATTCACTAATGACTTATCATACAAATGTGTTGCAGATTTTGCATTCTTTAACACTTTTTTGGAAGGAGTGTATTCATAGGCTGGGCCAGAGTGGTTGATTTTACATGACAGTAAAGCACAAACAGTGCTGTTGTCTAATGACGTCCTATTCTCTGTTACAATCTTTCTCACCATACTAAACACCCTTTCAGAACTGGCATTGCTGTGGGGAATGCAGAGTAAAGCCTTCATTAATCTTGGCAGCTCACTGAACCTCACATCCTTCCCTAGCAGGCCCCAGAATCTGTCAATGTTGTCTTCTTGGGGGGTTGCTCGCTATCTGTCACCTGGTAGTCAATGAGTTCCTCTCTCAGCCTATCTTCACTCAAGCTCAACTGAGGAAACATGGCCCCTAGCCTTTCCACTGGAAAATAAAGAAAGGGTTGCAAATCTAAACCATGCAATATTTCATCAATTCAATCATTCTATCAATGGAGAACTGCCCCTAACATCTACCTGCCCCTGGAGGAATGTTGAGGCGAGCAGCAGGGTCCAGCACTTTCAAGTCCCTCAGGAGTGGATGGTCAAGGGGAAAGGAGGAGAACATCTTCTGAAGCGCTGCTTCATAGAATCTTCTCACAGATCTACAACAGCGTAAGAGTAAAAAACTGCATTAGTGGCAGCATTTTAGGCACAGTACAGCATATTCTCTCATACTGATGATGGCAATTATAAAACTGCTGGGTAATATACTCACTGAAAGATTTTCTTCTCAGTGGACATGGGAAGCTCTACGCTTTTCATGAAGGCCTTTGTGTCTGCTCCAATAAAGAGCTCTTCATCAGCCAACTGATGTCCTTGTCCATACTCCACCTCCCTGAGAGGTATACCTACGATGGCCCTGGCTGGCATGAGGTAGCCCAGGATCCTCCTGATCAGCCTGCACATTTCCTCTTCCAGTCTGTGAATTTGTACTCCCTCTGACTGTAGAAAATATCATGGGTCACAACAAAATAACAGTGAATTAAGAATGCTACAATTAGCAAAATCACATTTCATTATAATTGAGTATTATTTACACATACATTCAATAACACTGATACCCACCTGGAAGGCAATATTAAAATCAGATAAAGGTTTAAGGGCAGCAGTGAGGAACATGAAGTAGATCTTCATGACTGGATCACGCAGATGGCTGGCTAAATCATGTATTTTGGCACTCCTCTCCACCTCCTCATGACTGTTAAATAAGGCCTAGAGTACATAAGGAAACAGGGTGGCAATAGTTAAATAAAAGGAAAACACAGAATAGTAAACTGTATGTATCTGCTGGAGTTACCATCCTTACCTGCAGTGCGTCCCACTGGTTCAACACTCTCTGGACACAGGTTAACAGACTCAGCCATCGGGTGCTGCAGTACCTGAGGAGCTTCAGGTGGTCTGAATCGGTAAAATCTACAAATTCTTTATAGATTTCACATCTTTTTGCACTGTAATATAGAAAATTATTTAGTTAGTGTCTGGAAATGTATGTGTATGTTTGAGGAGTATCAACTGCAGGCCTATTTATTTATATGGATTTACCTTTTATCAAAGTGGGTGTATATCCCAACCAGGACGTCTTCCACTGGTACCTGTGCTGCTTTGATGGCACAGCCAGTGGCCAGTTGTGTTAGGTGGCAGATGCAGCCGAGGTCCTGGACGCGGGGCTGGCTGGTCTTCAGTCTGCTGATAACAGAGTTGTGTCTGCCTTTCATGACCCTGGCGTTATCAGAGTTAAAGGCTATCAGGTTCTCCCATGGAATGCCTCTTTTTCTATTGGAAACATGAAAAAATGCCATAAAATGTCTTACACTAAACGTAAGGTTATAATTGAATGCAAATTACTACACACGTCAAAAACACCGTGCAGTTCCCCTACCTTAATGCTTCACTCAGCTTTTCATACAGATTTTCTGCATTTCCCACATTGCATATAGGCATCTCCATGAATTTTGTAGCGACCTCCAGCGTGGCCTCATCGTACAGTCTGGTCAGGATGACGAATTCTTTGTCCGTTTTTCTGTTGTTCGACTCGTCACACATCAATGAAAAGGGCTGCGATCGGCATGTTCTGGCCAACTCATCATCTAGCTCTGCTGCTATGGCACCTGTTGAGTGAGTGCCCAGTAACGTTAGCTAGCAATTTGCCACCAATATGCCTGCTGGACATGATTATGAATATGTATACGCTTTCATAATATTTATACTTAATTTGAATAAACTTACCTTTGATGAGTTGCGTAGATTTGGTTTTTCCCGCAGAATATTTTCGTGCAATAGCAGAGTCCGGGAACACCTCAGCTACACACTTGTTGAAGTCGTCACAAAAGGTGAAAGAAACATTGTTTTTGGCACACAGCATTGCCATTTTACCCTCCGCATTTATTACCTAGTCAGCCTCTGTGGTATTCCTAGTTACAAATGCCGACATCGTCTGGGCATGTTTCTGTGCTTCTAGCCAGCGCTTGTGCTTGGTTGATTTCTCATGCTGACTGACATCATTCCTTCCCCCGTGGGAGACACTAAAGTCGCAGCTGCAAATCTTACAAAAAGCGTGACTTTGTCCCCTCCTGCTCTTCTTTAGAAAAGTAAATTCGCTGTCCCATTTTTCTAGATATTTACACGATTTCTTTGATTTTTTGGCAGGAATGCCTTCTTCACTTCCATCCATCATCGCTCTCGTTTTTTGTTCCTGTTATGGGGCTGCATGGTGGCGCAGTGGTTAGCACTGTTGCCTCGCAGCACGAAGGTCACAGGTTCAAATCTCGCCTTTCTGCGTGGAGTTGCGTGTTCTCCCCATGCATGCGTGGGTTTTCTCCGGGTACTCCGGTTTCCCCCACAGATCACAACATGCCCTATAGGTTAAAAAATAATTGTAAGTCGCTTTGGGTAAAAGCGTCTGCTAAGCACATAAACATAAACATGTTCCCGCTTTCTGCACAAATCTCGCGACAACCAGTTCTCGCGAGGCTACAGATAATTTTAAAGAGGCAGAGGAATTTTAAAAATACGGGAGATTTACGGGAAAATAATAATTCGGGAGGACGGCAGGAAAGCAAAGTAAAATACGGTAGTTTCCCGGCCAAAACGGGAGACAACAGCTATGAATAATCAGCAAGTTTTTTCTCAATATATGTTTAATGGTTGGTTTCTAAATCCAGGCTCAATAATTAATAACAGGCAACTTGACATGTTATTTCACAAGCTCCAAATTATATCGTGCATGATTCAGCTTGAACTATACAATTATCCTCAATCATAGTATGGATTGAAATGTAGGGTTGACCTCATATGCAGTGTACGTAGTTTCTCACAGAGGACCCCACGGCAGAAGTTAACGAGTGCATTTGACAGTGAAATGGAAGATATGAAAGACGATAATGAGATAAAAGACTTGGATTTAGTTAGAGAATTACAGCACTTCACTTCTTACAACCCGTGTTTGGTTCAACCTGTTAATCACACTGTAAAGACGGTGGAAACTGAGTCTGAGGAGCTGCAGCTCTCTCTAACATGGTCTCATGCTCCTCATTAGATTGCATAACCTTTCTTTTAAAACACAGACTGTTGGGTTTGTACACTTACGGCTATCTGTTTACAGTCATAACCTTACCTTTAGTGTTCCAACTATCTTCAGTATTCTTCATCTGTGATGGAATAATCACACAAGTGACTCAGCGGTTTTAGATTGTCATATCTCTCATAAACATGCTAATTCACCTGTTTCTTTGTTTTACAACGCTATAGGGATGTCTGATACTATCGGTCTGTCATTTATATAGGCTGATATTGGAAATTAAATGTAATTTTGGAAAATATCAGTATTGAATTTTACTCCTTTATCAACCCAACCCTGCTGGAGAAGAGCTGGTTACCAGTATAGGTTTCGGTTTTGGTTTGCATGGCAAGCTGGACCAGCAAGTTTGACCAGCATACTTTTCCAGCATGCATGATCGGAAAATGTTATGTTAGCAACCCAAACTGATTTAGTTTTAAGTTTTTAATTAATTCATTTTTTTAGAGGGGGACGCTGCATATGTTGGTATTGGTTCATATCTGTATCGGAAATTAAGAGTTAAACAATATGGGTATATCGGATATCGTACAAAAGCCAATATCAAGCAACCCTAATTATTTCTAATGTTTTCTAAAATGCAAATTCCTACTTTCAATCCAGACTATTTTCATGTGTCGTTCCACAGATGTGGAATGACCTACCAAGCACTACCAGAACAGGGGCGTTCTTGTCAATTTTCAAGAAACTCCTGAAGACCCTGCTCTTCAGACAGCATCTTCTAGGACCCTCCCTGCACCCGTCCCCACTCTACTGCACACTCCATGTTCACTTCCCTTAATGAGTCCTTATGCTGCCTCATTGCCACCTAGGATTGATTGATTAGTGTTTGTTGTTAGCCTTGTTGAGGGTATGCCCTCGTGAGAAATTGCTGCAGTAATTTTCTCCAAAAGACTGTGCTAAATTGCTCTGAAAAGCAAATAATCACATCAGCGCCAAGAAACTTCATTTCCCATGATGCTTGGTACATGGAAGCATTGTGATGACGTCACCGCCTAATACCAGAAACACGTTCTGCGCATGTGCGGGAGCCCATGGAGTTTTCCCGCGAGCTCAGGCTATAAATCATTAACAAAGACAAAGAAACTCTGTTCTTTTGCACAGGATAACTGGCGGTAAGGACACGCTCGTTGCACGCTCCGACTCACTTGAGCACGCGGGAGGTCTAAGTGCCCAAGTGGAGCCCACGGAACCGCTGGAAAGCTAAACTACAAGCCCATCAGGTCTGTTCAACCGCTCGCTGCCCTAGCTGCTGAAGGGAAGAACACAGAACCGGGCTGGGAAATCAGCAACTCCGTCAAACTCACGGAGAACGCCAAAAACAGCGGAGAAAGCCATCGAACCACGGAGAACCGTCAAATCAAACAGCGGGGGACGCCTTGCTGTTCTGGTGATCAGAAAACTCATCTTCTCTTTCCTTCTTCCTTCTCCCGTTTCCTTTATAGTATAGAAAAAGCAATAAAACCGCGCTATTGCTTCAAATTACCAGACGAGTTTCTCTTTTCGTTCCCAAATACGTCCGTCGGGTCATTTTTGATAAAGAATAAACTGCTTATTGATCATTGTTTAAAAATCTGGGTTGTGTCTGTTAGCAGTGGCCAAGCTGACAAACTTATCAGATATTAATTCAGGATTAACCTTTTGTGTTGTTTCATGACCATTTTGAAGTGTTTTGAGTGATTTTAAGGTTAAGTTACTTCTGATTCTATGTGCTTTGGAAGTTAAAGTGCAAGTTGCCACCCACACTTTAGCCAGACAAAGGGGTCAGCCATCTTGTATTCAAGACTCCATTTTGAATCCATACACACGCACGCACACACCACTCCTTTGTGAGAACAAAGGACCCCATTCATACATCCTCCATCACACTCAAACACATCCATCTTCAATTATATCACATGGTTATTATTCATTTATTCCATTGTTTATTCATTTAACAAATTGTTTAATTAAATTATAAAATTCAGATTTTTGCCTCCAGTAGATTTGTTGTGTCGAAGCGAAGTCTCTGCTCCTAGGATTCTACGAACTTCAAGAAAGACTGATAAGAGTTTTGGATTCAATTTTTCCCTGGTTGAACGGGGTGGTGCCCCGGAGATATCTAAGAATATCTTAATTAATTAATAAATCAGTAAATATTCCCATATTTACAGCATTTATTGAAGAATCCAAAAGTAAGTAGGAGCTTACTAATTGTTCGCTACCTAATAACCCCAACAGCCTCAAGGGCAACCTGCTGGCTTCATTGTCACTTGTAAGTCGCTTTGGACAAAAGTGTCTGCCAATACATGAACGTAAACCAATCATCTGATGAGAAGTAATAGACATAGTGTAGATGTTTTAATAGACTATGTAGGGTTTAAAAAAACTGCAATGGTTCAAGTGATCATCATAATTAAGAAGAAACATTGTATCTCCAAACATGGAGCTGCAGCTTATAGGAACAACTTACTTGATCTCCAGAGCACAGTTCTAGGAACAGCTGGGAACCCTCAAGACCCATGTGTCTGGTACAGCAGCCACTCATAAGAACGAGGACAGACAAAGATTTTATATACTAACTTCAGAAAAAGCCACTCCACTTTGAAGAAAACAATCAGTTCTCTTCTTTGACAGCGCACATATTTTATACTATTAGGTTATGAGAACTAAATGGGTAACATATATTTATTATAAGGCCACACCAGTCAGGATTACTTCGAAAAAATTTAATTAAACAATGAGGAAGAAAGCATTTCTTATGCTGGTTGGTAAAGAAAATGTTCATTAAAAATGAGCACTATGAGCCGGACGGCTGGTGCATCAGGAGACTGTTTTTACTGTTCTCACTTTGTTCAGATGTTTAGCTTGGAAACGGCATCGCCTGTCAGTTTGGATAATGTGGAGTCTATTTACATTAAGAATGAGGTCATGGGTGAGTCAACCAGCTTCGTATGAAAAAGCTTCCTCTGTGGAGTCCAGCAACACAGAGTCAGTCTTATGTGACTCAAGAAAGGACGCAGTTAAAATCTTCAAAGTGTGAGTGGCCATGAAGAGTTAGTAACATTTTAGCCTAAATTTAAAGGCTTAGCACATTGATCTAGTGTTCTTTTTTGACACTAGAATGAATCAAACTGTTTTAAAATCATGAAAGAATGTTCTATCAAGTTTTGAAAGCACTGGCATCTGTCTCCTGCCTTATTTATACATCTTACAGTGTCAAACAACCATCATTTGGGAGTCTCTTTGGATAAATGTCTCTGCCACATTCATAAATATCATACACCACACCTCAACACCCCCTCACATTTACACAAATAGTTTGTCTCAATTAAAAAACTGTCGGTTAAAGGAGCTTTAATTTACCAGCAAATGCAAATGCACACAGACCTAAGGTTAACATATGAAAAAACTAAATGTAAATCAAAAACATAATAAAAATGCAGTAATATGTATAAATCTGCCTAACTGTGTTATTAAATGGAAGATGCAGATTATTCCACAGACTAAAAAGATTATGACACATCTGCATAGGAGTTCTTATAAAAACTCTGTCTAAAGAAATAAAAGTAACCAAACAATTTTATCATATTACATAACACTGTATTGTATTGTATTGTTTGATATAATACATGTAATAAATTGTGTTAGATCAGTGCAGCAATCAGAAGTGATTGTCCCCAGTTTTTAAAAATTTCCTGTGTTTTTACACCAAAGGCAAACAGTTCTGCCAACCCTTGTGAAAAATGTGCTACAGTGGGTGACATGTTCCTCCCTCTTAAATGCAACATATTAATAATGTTTTTAAAGGTGGAAGAATCAATTTTAAATGAATCTTTTAGTTCTCATGCAACTGTTGGAAAGGATGCAATTTAGATCTACTCAGACACAGATAAAGCACCCATGCTGTTCCATGAAGCTCATTTTATTTCTTGCTAGGCAATGCTAGTTAAAAAAAAAATCAAGAAATGATTTCATCCTGCAGCTCAATAGCCTTGGCTCAATTTCAGCAGAAAACATGTAAAAGTGCATGTTTTCTTTGACTGCACACTGAGCACCCGCTCCTCTGCTTTTGTTGCAATTGTGATGCTTGGTTTGTGGATAAAAAGCAATGAAAGTTTGGAAATTGTGGGTGAACACTTTTTTTATCATGATAAAAAACAGATTGATTGTGTGTGTGAGTACACATTTGATGGGTTTCCAGTTTTCAAACAAGATCATGCCACACTTATCTTTTCATAAAATGTAGCGTAAGATAAAATCTTCAAACTTTCATCCCATCACCCCTACCTTATACAGTATTTACTAATCAAAGCTAAGGTGATCTGTATTTTAAAAATTAACAATATTTAGGACAGAAGCTCTGTCTCTGTCACGTCTGGGTGGCAATTTCTTGACCCACGACATGCTGAATCCAAACACGGAGAGCAGGAATGTAAGTAAAGGTCTTTATTACTAAATAAGGGAAAAGTGAGAGACGGGAACCGATGAGATGCAGGACTGGCAGCAGGAATCCAGGAGAGTTTCTAAGGAGGGAGACAGAGTGAATATAAGGCGGAAAACAATGGGAACTTATCTGGAGACTAGTCTTACTGTTACTCGGTAGTAGTAATGGCACGGGAAGGATTGTCGGGTCCGGGTGAGCTGATGAGATCCACAGGTGAGGTATAGGTTGTCCAGAGGTGGAGGAGCAGGAATGGATGTTGGTTGGTGAGCGGCTGAGAGCGGGCGGCCAGGGAATGAAGCAGTGCGTCAGGTAAAACTGAGATCCGGGCTTGTTCTGGTGCTGGTGATGAGTTGAGAGAAACCTGGAGGGGAGCAGGAGAGGGCATCAAGGTATTTACTGGCAACAGATTCACAAGAATACAAAAACGAGTTTCAGGATGGGGCTGAGGCTGAAGCTACCCAAACAGAGTAATCATCCGGCGTGGTGATGTGTCGCACTGCTCCTTAAATCCCCTGAGCCTGATGAGGAGATAAGCTGCAGCTGGAGCTCTCAGACACGCCCACCTGTGGAAACAATGCTCAGAGGGAAAAGCCAGGCTACTTGCAGTCAGCTCACCACGGACCATGACAGTACATCCCCCCCCCCCCCCCCCCCCTCAACGGACGCCACCCGGCGACCGAGCAGAGGAGGAGGAGGCGGAGGAGGAGGAAGCCCGAGAGGCCTCGAAGTCCCTGATGAGGTCCGGGTCAGTGATGAAAGAGCAGGGAACCCAGGAGCGATCCTCGGGACCGTAACCCTCCCAGTCCACCAGGTACTGGAACCCACGGCCCCGGGGGCGGACATCAAGGAGGCGACGGACAGGGTACACCAGACTAGAGCCCTGCACGGGCCTAAAATCTGAGCCCGTGTCCGGCCCGGCCCGAGGGGGTGGAGCCCCAGCCCGACCCGGCCCGAAAAGGTTTTCAGGATTCTCTGGCCCGGCCCGAGCCCGAGCCCGACTTTTTTTAACCAACTAAATGAAAACAAAGTGCGTAAATCCTGACCAATGTGTTAAAAGATGTGCAGGATCCGAGCGTCGCAGAAGCGCATGCGGGAAGCTTCCTACTGAAGCGAGTGTTTTCCAAACCCTGTCTCTCAGAGACTTGTCACTTAGAAAATGTTCCCTGATTATGAAACTTTGGCTGAATAGCGCTTGTTCCTGTCTCCAATGTGCGACACATCCAGGAGCCGTCTGAGGAGAAGCCCAGAATCTCACATCCTCTTCAGCTCATAAGCGCAGATGATTACGCACAAGCGTGACCCAACACGGTCTCACAGTAAGACTGGGTTGGACCTGTTCAGGTTTACGCAGACAATCTTCACATAGAATTGACTTACAGATATAAAATTAATTCAGTAAAATATAAAGCATTTTATTTAAATATCCATTCATTATTTTACAAGCACATCGGCAGATGGATGGAAGAGCCGCGGGTTGCCGATCCCTGCTCTAGTTCAAGATATCATTAAAATTCCAAAAGTGCTGAAAAGATTTAAAATGGGGCTTTCCGTGCATATACAATACATTACAGTATCCACCGGGATTTCCTGTCTTGAGCGCAACGAATCACAACACAGATTCAGAGACGTGCGAGTTTGTCATCCAAAATGCTCCGTTTTATAACTTTTGAATGGTTGATCAGATTCAAATATTTCCAACGGTTCCTAAAAGTACATAAAAGCAGCTTTCCAACGATCTATAGCATGAAGCAATCAGAGTTAGAGAAAATATCGCTACGAGGGGAAATCCTGCTGTACAGCCTGATTGAAACGGAGCGCAGCACTGCTGTGAAAGCGGATAACCTATAAAATGACATGTTGAGGACGCAAACTCAGTACATCTCTTTTATTGTGAGGTAATAATTTCTCCGAGTTTTGCGGTTGCGGGCGGGAGTAGACATGCACGCTGCAGGTGCGGGCGGGAGTAGACACGCTGCAGGTGCGGGCGGGAGTAGACATGCACGCTGCAGGTGCGGGCGGGAGTGTAACACACACGTTGCGGTTGCAGGCTGTAATGGTCAGAAATTCAGCGGGAGCGGAGCGGGATGAAGAAAACAGTCCCGCACAGGGCTCTACTGCTGCGTTTAAGTGTTTTAATTTTTTTAATGATTTCGAATAAAAATAAAGGCGCCCGGCCCGGCCCGTGTCCGAGGTAATTACACAGTCGTTGGCCCGAAGCCCGGCCCGAGGGCCGTCGGGCCGGGCCGACCCGAGGGCCTAGGGCTTCAGTGCAGGGCTCTACACCAGACCACCTCCGACGAGCCTGGCCGGCGGAGGAGGAGCAGGAGCAGGACACAGGGGACTAGAGAGGACAGGTTTAATCAGGGAGACGTGAAAAACAGGGTGGACCCTCATGGACGGGGGCAGAGCCAAACGGACGGTGGACGGACTGATGACATCAACAATGGGGTATGGACAGATGAACCGGGGAGCCAGCTTCCTGCTGGTGTCCTTCAGGCGGATGTCCCTGGTGGACAGCCAGACCTTCTGCCCAGGGGTGTACACCGGAGCTGGTCGTCGGTGTCGATCCGCAAGGCGGCGGTTACGGTCTGCAGTCCTCTGCAGAGCCGCCGTGGTCTGGACCCAGGCGCGCCTGGCACGGCGAATGAACTGGGGAGCGGAAACAGGAGGATCTTGGGTAGACGGAAAAAGAGGAGGCTGGTAGCCAAGAACGGTTTCAAATGGAGACAGGCCAGTGGATGCAGACGTATGAGCGTTATGGGCGTACTCTACCCAGGGAAGTTGGGAACTCCAACTAGAGGGGTTGGAGAAACAGACACACCTGAGCATGGCCTCGAGCTCCTGATTCATCCTTTCGCATTGTCCATTAGTCTGTGGGTGGAATCCAGAGCTAAGAGCGACACGAGCCCCCAGGTGGTCAGCGAACTCCTTCCAAACGCGGGACAGGAATTGGGGGCCACGGTCAGACAGTATTTCAGAAGGAATGCCATGCAGACGGAAAACGTGTTTGATCAGAAGTTGGGCGGTTTCGGCAGAGGACGGGAGTGCTTTGAGAGGCACCAGGTGACAGGATTTGGAAAAACGATCAACTATCGTGAGGATGACAGAAAAACCATTAGAGGGGGGTAAACCAGTAACGAAGTCTAAAGCTATGTGAGACCAAGGACGAGTGGGTACAGGCAGAGGGTTGAGGAGTCCGGCTGGAGGTTGGTTACTTGATTTGTTACAGGCACAGATGGAACAGGCGTTGATGTACTCACGGACATCTTCGAACATGGATGGCCACCAGAAGGTTCTGCGGATGAGAGCCAGGGTTCGACCGACCCCAGGATGAACTGAGAATTAGAGCCCTGCACTGAAGCCCTAGGCCCTCGGGTCGGCCCGGCCCGACGGCCCTCGGGCCGGGCTTCGGGCCAACGACTGTGTAATTACCTCGGACACGGGCCGGGCGCCTTTATTTTTATTCGAAATCATTAAAAAAATTAAAACACTTAAACGCAGCAGTAGAGCCCTGTGCGGGACTGTTTTCTTCATCCAGCTCCGCTCCCGCTGAATTTCTGACCATTACAGCCTGCAACCGCAACGTGTGTGTTACACTCCCGCCCGCACCTGCAGCGTGCATGTCTACTCCCGCCCGCACCTGCAGCGTGTCTACTCCCGCCCGCACCTGCAGCGTGCATGTCTACTCCCGCCCGCAACCGCAAAACTCGGAGAAATTATTACCTCACAATAAAAGAGATGTACTGAGTTTGCGTCCTCAACATGTCATTTTATAGGTTATCCGCTTTCACAGCAGTGCTGCGCTCCGTTTCAATCAGGCTGTACAGCAGGATTTCCCCTCGTAGCGATATTTTCTCTAACTCTGATTGCTTCATGCTATAGATCGTTGGAAAGCTGCTTTTATGTACTTTTAGGAACCGTTGGAAATATTTGAATCTGATCAACCATTCAAAAGTTATAAAACGGAGCATTTTGGATGACAAACTCGCACGTCTCTGAATCTGTGTTGTGATTCGTTGCGCTCAAGACAGGAAATCCCGGTGGATACTGTAATGTATTGTATATGCACGGAAAGCCCCATTTTAAATCTTTTCAGCACTTTTGGAATTTTAATGATATCTTGAACTAGAGCAGGGATCGGCAACCCGCGGCTCTTCCATCCATCTGCCGATGTGCTTGTAAAATAATGAATGGATATTTAAATAAAATGCTTTATATTTTACTGAATTAATTTTATATCTGTAAGTCAATTCTATGTGAAGATTGTCTGCGTAAACCTGAACAGGTCCAACCCAGTCTTACTGTGAGACCGTGTTGGGTCACGCTTGTGCGTAATCATATGCGCTTATGAGCTGAAGAGGATGTGAGATTCTGGGCTTCTCCTCAGACGGCTCCTGGATGTGTCGCACATTGGAGACAGGAACAAGCGCTATTCAGCCAAAGTTTCATAATCAGGGAACATTTTCTAAGTGACAAGTCTCTGAGAGACAGGGTTTGGAAAACACTCGCTTCAGTGGGAAGCTTCCCGCATGCGCTTCTGCGACGCTCGGATCCTGCACATCTTTTAACACATTGGTCAGGATTTACGCACTTTGTTTTCATTTAGTTGGTTAAAAAAAGTCGGGCTCGGGCTCGGGCCGGGCCAGAGAAT